CTCCCCCAGCAGGTGTCCTTCTCCCTGTCCCCCCCCAGCAGGTGTCCTGCTCCCTGTCCCCCCCAGCAGGTGTCCTCCCTGTCCCTCCCCCAGCAGGTGTCCTGCTCCCTGTGCCCACTCCGGGTCTTGCCCAAGCTTGCTTCTGCTTCTGCTTCTGCTTCTGCTTCTGCTTCTGCTTCTGCTTCTGCAGATGTGCTGCCGCCGGCTGAATCCCCTGCACAAACACAGGCGTGAAGAAGCAGGGTCTTTGAGAGGTGCGCGTGGGAAGCGATGTTAGCGTTAGCTGACTTGTCCACTGTTTGCAGTGAGGAAAGCTCTGACAGAGGTAAAGTTGGGCGTGGCTAGATCAGGGTCATCAAGTGGGTTAAACAAATGTGTACGGGACCCGCTTTTGTCGTGGTGGTTACGGCTGCTGGGTCCATATGGCCAACTGTGGTCTGAGGCCTGGGCCTGGCAGCTAGAGAGACATGCCAGGTGCGTGTGCATGCCCCCGTGTGCCGAGAATCCCAGGAGGAGGGAAGAGGAGAAGGGATCGCATTGTGGCCATTCTCCATGGGAGGTGCTCTCTCTCTCTCCCTCCCTGGCCCTCGAGCGAAGTAAACCATGCGCTGTACTTGACTTCGCTAACTCAGCTCGCGCCAGGTTAACCCTGATAGGCCTTAAGCATGTTTAAGTAGATGTGTTTTACTTTTTCGTTGGAGTTACCACAGAAGACTCGTAATTTCTCAGTGGTTAATAAATAGCATGTTTTGAAATGGAATATTTGAAAGTGAGGATCAGACTGGCCCTATAGTGTAGAGGTTAACTGCTGTCACTGGGAGCCAGAGCCCACGTGTCTTACTGTGGTCGCATCCCAGCCCCAGCAGCGCGAAAAACACAGTGAGCTCCTGTGTGTGCGTGAGCCCAGAGCCCGGCGGGAAGGCGAGATGGACGAAGGACGGTGGTGTGACCTCCTCCTGTTGAGGGACACAGTGAGCTCCTGTGTGTGCGTGAGCCCAGAGCCCGGCGGGAAGGCGAGATGGAGGAAGGACGGTGGTGTGACCGCCTCCTGTTGAGGCTTCCCTGCAAACGTCAGGCTTGCTGCCTGCGTCTCCAGAGGACAGTACGTGCCGTGAATTAGAACCACACGATTCGCAGCACTGACTCCCGCCTCCTACACTTGTGGGCAAAGCACCGCAGTTGTGGCCGTGGTCTTGGGCACTTGGGGTGTGGGCACCGACAGATCTGGTCACGTGCCTGCAGTGTCTGCGCCGTCGCTCTGCGCGTCTCCTTAGGCGTTTCGGGGGTCGTGAGGCGGTGAGTGCCGCCTCATGCCCTGCCAGGTGTTTAATGACTCACTCGGGTTCCGTTGCAGTCATGCTTTGCTCAGCACAGAGTAGGAGTCGTGACGATGCTTGTTGGGCGTGGGGTTGTGGCTGGTGCCCTCGGAGGGCAACGTGACGGTCTTGTATCAAGTCTTAAAAACAATACCTAGACGACCAGCAGGTGGTGTGGAGGTCAGGCGCTGGGCACGCCTTCCTTGGCCAATTGTGGTTTGAGTCTCGGACCCGGCAGCTTGAAAATCATGCTGAGCACGCGTGCCCATGTGCTCAAACCCTGAGGAGCAGGGATTGCCGCGTGGCCACCCCAGGGAGCGCACTCCCGTTTTCCCCTCCCTGGCGAGCACACGTACCCTATGACAAGACCTAAAGGGGTAATGACAGTAACCATCATTTCACTTCTCACGTCGTGGTCTAAGGACACAATCAGAAGAATGCGTCAGGATTTATAGACGGGCCGGCGGGTGAAGGGTGGTTAGGGTGCTGGGCTCCCACATGGCCCCTGAGGTTCGAGCCCTAGACTTGGTGGCTTGAAAGTCCTGTCTGGCGCATGCGTGTGCGTGTGCGTGCACGTCCAGAGTCCTGGAGAGCGGAGAGGTTATTGCGGCCTGGCCACCCGGGGGTGGTGTCACGCTCCCCCGCTCTCAGTTTCTCTTTCTAGCACATGTACCCGATGGCAAAAACTTAAAAAGAAAGAAGAGAAAAGAGTGACTTACGGACAAAGACGTTCACGTATGTAGTAGCACAAGCGCACATACGTGTGCTCAGTGATAGACTGAGACACCGCCCGCTCTCTGAAGCCGCTGGGAAGGGGTCACTGCGTCACAAGGGAGTAGGGGCCTCAGAGACGTGCCGGCCGGAGGGGCCGAGGGCCCCAGAACGCCGAGGGCCCATGTGCTGCGTGTGACCGTCCTCTCCACTCCGTGCTCTCCACGCGGCTGTGCCGGACGGACACATTTCTTACTGCCGTGGAGTACCTGGAGACGCTGTCTGTAAAAGCAGCATAGTCATAAAATATGTGAAGACACTCCCACCAGGCAGGGCCAGCTGGTTTGGAGGTTAAGGCAGCCGGGCTCCACACAGCCGACTGCCTGGTTCAAGCCTCGGCCCCAGCAGCTTCAAACATGCGCGGGCGTGTGGGCATGTGCACCCACAGTCCCGAGAAGAGTATGGGGGACATGAGGTTGTGGCGTGGCCATCCCTCTGAAAGTGAGCGTGTGTGCTTTAGAGTGAAGCTTAAAAAGAAACGAACAGACAGAATCCGGGCATTTTGTTAGCAGCGCTGGGCGTTAAACGTAATCGAAGGGAAAGCAGCGCGGGCCCACGGGGTAGGGCTCAAATCAGAATTCTGAATATTGAAACCACATTTTAGACTGTTCAGTTTTATTTATTTTTATTCATTTTGACGGGGCCGGGGGGGAAGAGAGGGAGAGTAAGAAAGCAAGCCACAAGGTCTGGGACTCGAACTGAGGTCAGCCATGTGGGAGTCCAGCACCTTAACCACCATGCCACCTGCCAGCCCCAGAAATTTGAGTATTTGAATGTTAGGTCTGCAAGAAGCAAGTCAGACCTGGGGCTGCTCGGGTGGCTCAGCAGGGTGTGGGGACCGAGTAGTCCTGAACCGTAGGGGTGTGAGAGAGCAGTTGTGGAGGTTTAAAGACAGGCTCACAATGAAACGGAAGTCTCACCTCCTCGCACTTCTCACAGGCTTTGTGAAGTCCCCCGTCTCCACCTCGAGTGGAGCAGGGCGGTGCGGTGACAGCTGGGTGGGGTGACAGGCACGAGGAGGCCCCGACCTGTGTCCGCGAAGGTGGTGGGAGTCGTGCTCAGCTGGGGTAAACCTGACCAGGTAAGCCTGTTCACATGCCAGCGCGCCCCAGGGAGACACCATGCGTGTGCACACGTGCACACACGCACGCACATGTCTGTCCGGCTTCCCAGTCGCAATGGCTCACATAGTGTCATTCGATGAAGGCAGCGTGGGTGACGAGCGGGCATGGTGTGGCCTCCCCGCGGTGCCAGGGAGGCGCTCTGACCCCACGTATAGCCCTCTGTGGTCGGGGTGCGTCTTGGCGTGGGCCCGAGTTCTGTGACTCTCACGGGCCGCCTGACCCGCTAACAGCCCTCTAAGGAAGCGAGCGACAGGTCTGTGAACCCGTGGCCAGAGGTTCTTCCCAGCGTGCACAACGGGTCTGACAGCCGTAGCTGGCTCGCGGGCCCGGGGCTGGCTGGCTGGTAGACAGAGCGCTATTTGGCTCACGGTGCTGGTGGCAGGAAGGTCACACGACAGGCACCGTGTGGTGCAGGAGGGACACGTGCTGGTCGGGTTGCGTTGCAGATGCTCATGAGACGTGTCAGCAGCAGTCGCTCCGGGCAGTGAGTGTGTGTGTGCGTGTTCCCCCCAGGCGGTGAGCGTGTGTGCGGTCCCCCCAGGTGGTGAGCGTGTGCGCGGTCCCCCCAGGCGGTGAGCATGTGCGCGTTCCCCCCAGGCGGTGAGTGTGTGCGTGTTCCCCCCAGGTGGTGAGCGTGTGTGCGGTCCCCCCGGGTGGTGAGCGTGTGCGTGCGTGGCTCCCCCGGGCGGTGAGCGTGTGTACAGTCCCCCCAGGTGGTGAGCGTGTGTGCGGTCCCCCCGGGTGGTGAGCGTGTGCGTGCGTGGCTCCCCCGGGCGGTGAGCGTGTGCCTGTGTGGTCCCCCCGGGCGGTGAGCCGCATCCTAGGCCCCAGGTGCTGTAGGAAGACCAGAGCTGGAGGTGCAGCAGCACTGGAAGGAGCACTCGGTGACCTCCTTACCTCAGTGGGCATGAGGGGCCTGTGCTGCCATCTCCGCCCGTCACTGAGCTCACCCCCATTTTGTGGGGACAGTGGGCAGGGGCCTGGGGCGGGCCCACCTGGGCAGGCCCTGGGTAAGAGCTGTGTGGAAGCAAGGCCTTGGCTCCTGGTGAGGTACGGGGAAGGTTTCCAGCAGCTCTGGGGAAGGGGCCTCCCGCCCGGGCTGGGACTGACAACTGCGAGGCTGGTGGCCGCCCAGAAAGTAGATCGCGCTTCATTTTCTACCTGGGAGGACAGGCAGCACCACTGGCCCTGCAGCCCGGAGGTCGGTGCACGGCCTGCTGGTGCCCGTGCCGGTGCGGCCCACGGGGGGCGCTCGGGGCGGCGGGGGCCCG